GTTAGTTGTGTTTTGTTGTTAGTTTAGTTGTTCTTTCTTGCTGCTAGGTTAATTGTGTTTTGTTGCTAGGTTAGTTGTCTGATGATGCTAAGTTAGTTGTGTTTTGTTGTTAGTTTAGTTGTTCTTTCTCCCTGTAGGTTAATTGTGTTTTGTTGCTATGTTAGTTGTCTGATGCTGCTAAGTTAGTTGTATTTTTTTTTTATAAAAAAATTGTAAGCAAGACAAACAATGCAACCACTACACCACTCAAGGTTGAGTGTCTTTTGTTGCTAGGTTATTTATTTCAATGCAACGGGTCAACGCCGGAAGTCAACTAATAATTATTTTATTATTTAATTAATGTATATTTTAATTTATTTTGATCTAGACAAAATGAGTGGCTAAGATTGAGTCTCACGTACTCATTTTAAGGAGTGATCTCATTAGATCCGTCCCCTATATATCTATATATATATATATTCGATGCTTTCACATATATTTTCAAAAATAACATACAATATTTTATGTGCTTTAACACATGTTACATAATATGTTAAATACTTTTATTTATATTGAGATGTAACATTTTGGATAAACAATCTTGTGTGTATATTTAATAATTTAATTTTTGTAGCTTTCTATAAATTCTACTCATATCTCACATTTGATTTATGAATAATAATACTAATATTTATCTATGCATACATCATATTTAAATTATCAGTAAAATTATAATGTTGTTATCCCTAGTTTTTTTAATTTAGAGTAGGTAATAATTATAGGGTGAGGACTTAGAGGCAGTGCCGGCTGCAGGGGAGGCAGAGTAGGCTCTTGCCTAGGGCCTCAATTTATTTGGGGCCACATATTTTTTTTGTTGGTTAATACTATGCATTTGTGTTGGGTTTGATCCATTTAAATAAATGAAGTGGCCTAATCAATGAATGAGTAATGACTAAATATTGACTTAGCCCATTACACAAATAAAGATGTTAATGAATAAAGGGCTAAGGGCTAATGACTAAATATGGACTTGGTCCACTACACAAATGAAGAAGCTAATTAATAAAAAGGCTAGGTTAAATATGTAATTTGTTTCTGAATTTGAAAACCTAATATTTCATTTGTTTTCTTATGATGTTTGGTATGAACAATTTGTATTATAATAATTATTTTCAGTAATATTATTTCTTATTTTTTATCCTTAATGTTCTCGTGACTGCTTCAAGGTAATTTATTAAACATCTCTGTAAACTCCAGAGATAATTTATCATTTCCAAGATCTACTTCAGGATTGATGAACAACAAGAAAAATCATTTCCTTTTCAATTATTTATTTATTTAGCTTGTCTTGTTGAATTAGCTGTTTTTTTCTTCCATGCTTACCCTTCGAGAAAAAAAAAAAATTGTCTGGAGCCTCCAAATTTCTGGAGACGGCCCTGCTTAGAGGAAGCCCCGATGGGCACTCGTCACTGCAAGCTACTTTCTTGGGACACTTTGAAGGAGAAGATGGAGGCGAAAATATACATTCTGTTTTTGTTTAATTATTTTCTATTTTTATTTTTAAACTAAAATAATTATATTGTTTTTATTTACATTTTGTTTTTGTTTTATTTAAAATTGAATATTCATATTTGAATAGGGAGTTAATAATAATTTTATTTGTTATTAAATTTTTTAAATAAAATATCAAATTCATCCACCTTGAACAACTGTAGAATTAAATATCGGTTAGCCCGAGTGTGACGTTATTATGCTGTTGGGTTGGGATAGTTTCTTTCTTTTTCTTTCTTTTTTCTCCCTTGAGAGCTTTTAGTATCGTTGTGTTTTTTTGTATTTCTAGAGTATTTCATTGTTGGGGTGAGTTGATCTAGGCGTCTTTTGACCAGTCCTCCTAGTATTTTTAGAGGGTGACTGTTTGTATTCAGCTATTGGTTGTATTTT